ATTTTATTCATATTTATTAAAAATAATTATTATTTTTATTTAAAAAGTCATAACAAACCTCACCCACCAATGAAATAAGGGGTTTGAGGGAGCATAGCCCCCCCTAAGCTTTTGTAAAAAATTTAGTTTGGTCCCTTACATTTTATTTTTATTATTTTTATCCTTCTTTATTTCATACAATTTTAATCATTTTTCAATATTTATGTTTTTGAAGATTATTTTTTTATAACAAAGAGAAAGATGAAGAAAATAAATAGAATATAAAATATTCAAAAAAATTAAAAATTAAAAATTAATTGAATAAAAATTTTTATCATCAATTTTTTATAAAGTATTTGTTTGTTAATATCTTTACTTCCTTTTCTTTGTTTATAGTATATATTATTCTACTAAATATATGTTTGTTTTTATCTTTCAACTAATAGTTTCTATATTATATTATCAACTACTATTTTTTGATAAAAGATTATCAACCACTGTTAATTTATTATTAAATATTAACAAATATTGTTTATTTATTTAACTTTTTTTTTTTACTTTTCAAATTAACACTAATTTTATTTTGCCCTCCCTAAAAAATATCTCTAGCTCCATCACTGATCTGAATTATTGAAAATGAAAAGATGAATGCTCAAAATTTTATATAAATATATTGTGTAAAATTTATATGTAAGTGGATTTATATATATATATATATATATATAATCATTATATGGATCACATTCTATAGTTAATTTAGTGGCCAATTTGTGGATCATATATATTAAACTAGAAGGCAACGTGGGTGTAAGATTTCTTGATTTTTTTGTTGATGCAAAAAAAATAAAACATTAAAATTTAACTATTTCTAGTTTCCTATAAAAATTTTAAATTTTAACTTATTTTTATAATTTGACTAAAAAAATAAATACCATCACCAACTAAACAAGCCTTTAGACCCCGCTAAATGTAACCTTCGGTAATTTGCCTCTAGAAATTGTTGGGAAAGCCAAGCCAAAATTTTTTGTGGCTCAAACCTAGAAACTTCGTCCTTTAAGATCAGGGGAGGAAAAGTTCCCGTGGTTCATAATTGGTTTTTTTGTTTTTTGTTTTTTCGGTTTTTTTTTTTTCTGTTTTCTTTTTGATTAAATGTCAATTTTAGTCTCCAAACTTTTAATTTAATATTTTTTGGTCCTTAAATTATTTTTAATACCTTTTTGATCCCTCAATTCTACAAATTGTACTTTTTGGTCTTCCTTCAATTGAGTGATGATATGGATGTTAATTCAATTCAAAATAGCACTTTTTTGATGATATAGTATTGACATATCATTAAATTATAGTATTGACATATAATTAAATTAGATTACGTGGGCTCATGTTATTCATAAATGTTTCTAGTGGGGAAGAATCAGTTTGAGGAGGAAAAAAAAAAGATTTTAGATGTATTTTTAATATTTTATAAGTTTTAATATTTTAATTTACAAATAAATCTAATTGGTGGATAGTTTTTGTTTTTTAGTTTACATGGATGCCACATATTTTATCTATAACTAAGCTAAGGGACCCATTTATAATAGATATGTCATTAAAAAATTAAAGAAAAACAAGTTTTTAAATGCGTTAACAGCTATTGGGTCATATCATCATTTAAGTGATGGAATGACAAAACAAGTGTAATCTTCAAAGTTGAGAAACTAGAAAATTATTGAAATTAGTTTAGGGATCACAAGTGTTCAAAATAAAAAATTTAGGTACTAAAATTGATATTTAATTTTTTTTAATGAAACTTGGTTCATAAGTAATTTCCTCTCCAAATAACAAGTTAGTATATTTTTATTTCATGTGTTATGGTTGGTTATTTATGATAGTTACAATAGTAACTCAAGCTTTAGGCAGAAAGTTTACTATATGGACTTACTTTTACTTTATCTTTATTTAATGTGTTATGGTTGGTTCTTTATGTTAGTTACTATGGCAAATCAATTTCTGTGCACAAAGTTTAGTAGGGCCCACATACGCTCTATAAAAGCAATTTTTGAAAGAAACTGACCAAACTAAATGCACGAAAAGAATAAAATAATAAACAGTGGTGTAAAGATAATTTTTTATATAATTTTTATATATTATTTAATTAATTAATATATTTAATATTATGAGTTTTAAATGAATAAAAAAATTAATTATTTAACAAATATATGAAATTGTATTAAAAATAATATAAAAAAATTATTTCTAAATCATTCTAATAAAGAAATAGATGTTTGACAGGCAACGGCCGGCTTGGTTTGTCATGTAAGACTATTTTTAATAGGTGTTTGGAAAATTTTGAAAAGTAAGTTGTTTTCAAGTTAATTTCTTCTCATAAATTAAAAACCTATTAGAGGAAATTTAAAAATTAAATTTTAAAGTTATTTTTAAATAAAATTTAAGAAAATTATAGGAAAAAAAAATTTTTTAGTAGGTTCTCCCAACCTTTTCTCCATATAGGCAGTGAAGTGTCCAAATTTTGTTTTAAAATAGTGGAAATGCGATAACTAAATCAGCATCGAAATATCACTTATTTAGACAAGTCACATAGTAGAATGTCTAAAATACCCTCTCAAACTAATTTTGGGTAAAAAGGTAAAAAGACACGCAGCTGCTAAATTTCTCTTTTTGCCCGCAGTCATGAAATGCGATGAATTCTTGGTGAACTCTCTGCCAACCCCCCATTTCATTCTTTTCAAAGTTTCCTTTTTTTTTTTTTTTTCAATTTTGTCTTAAAGCTTTGGATTTTTAATTAATTGTATTTGAGTGGGATTTGGGGTGTTTGACGGGGGAAGTTGGCACCCAATTGAGATGGCTGTTGGGGCTTTGTGTTTTGCTTGAATGTAAGATGCAAAAGTTAGTTTCCATTCAAGTAGATGAAAACTTGGGACCAAACCACTAAAGACGTATTCTTCCTATAAAATTTTTCAAAATTTACATAAAAATTACTTTTAAAACTAAACTTTAAATTTCTCTCAATAAAATTTTAGAATTATTAAAAAAACTGCATTTGAAATAAGGTTTTTTTTTTACAAACTCCCTATGAGCTATTTCTGCCTTTTAAATTTCCTGATGATAATGTGGATTTGTCCTTTTTTTTTTTTATTTACATAATTTTTTAATTTGGTGGAATAAAGATGTCATGGATGAATTGAAGACGAGGATCATAGCTGTTCCATTTACTAAGGAGCATTTGACAGAACCTTTACTTGGAAATGGTTTATAAGCAATTTTTAATCTCTTAAATTTGAAAATGTTTTGGAAGAAACGATAGATTTTTAGGAGAGAAAAATGCATACAAGCAAGTTCTAAAAGAAAACAATAGCCTAGAACTTTCTTGAAAACTTAAACATAATTTTCAAACCTAAGAAATTAAAAGTTGCTTCTAAGTCCCATAAAAAAAAAATTTTGCTTTTAAGCAATTTCAAAAAAAACTCCATCAAGCACCCCTAAATGTGTTATGGGGTATGGTTCCATTGTCTTTGGATACTTCAAAATCATGGTTGAGATCGATGCACCTTGAGTTTTTGAGTAGCTTGGTGCTTAAGTCTTGAGAATTGGCAAATTGATAGGGATAATATAATTTCCACAGAAATTGAAGGAAGTAGTAAGGAAAACTCATTTAGTCCAAGTTAAGGTGCAGGGTCAAAGAATTTAGAATTATTGATTCGCGTACCTTGTGTTGCTGAGGAGCCATTTAGGATGTTGGATCTTAAATCCAACACTTCTAAGTTTTCAAAAACTGACAGCCCTGCATGTAAACATTTTTTTCTTATTAGCAAAAGAAACAAAAATCAAATTCTAAAGAGCTTGTATTGTTGGGGAGTTCCTAAAGTGACTCAATCTAGCTAGTAGCTACTACAATTAGATTATTGCAAATTGAAGGGGAAAATTACATAACAAGCGTACCTTTGTTCTGTATCCTAGAAATTACATTGAAGGATAAATTCAGACTCCTTAGCTCCTTAAATGATTTAAACAAAGAGAGGTTTAAATTCCAACTGTTTTGGGGGTCATATAAGCTATATGAGGGTACATCAAACTGCCTGGTATTGCTGAGGGAGAGGTTGATCACATGGCCTGTGGTGGAGTCGCAACCGACCCTCTCCCATTTACAACAGCACTCATGCTCAGGGTCATTAACCCATGAAGGAAAAAGTTGGTCTGCGTCGTAGCCATCTGATTTGACGAAGGCCTTGAATTCTAGAAGAGCCGCCTTCTCCTCTTCAAAGCAGCCCCTGTTTCCATGGATGAAAATCAAATGGATTAGACCCAACAATAAAAACTTAATTACCAGAACAGAATCCATCTAGGAATGAAGAAGAATCTGCTGATCGTAATATTGTTTGCACATGGCTGGCGCTGCCTCTTGGCTTTTATATTGTAATTATTCCTAGGACCAGTTACCCCAACTTAGCTAAGAAAGGACCTACAAACCTGGAATTTTTTGTTTTGATAGTTAAATATTGTTAGGAGGATTCACATTTCACAAGCCGACTTGGGATTTGACTTTAAGATCCTTCGGAAGCCATTGGTAGTTAAGTATTTTAGTATTCACATTTCACTTTTTTTGGTATTTAAATTTCAGGTTTGTGGGAATTTTTTTATTTCACTAAAAAAATTCCTCACTTGCATCCCCCTTTTTCAGCCCCTTTTTAGCATAAATTGTCCTAATAGAAGATGTCACAAATACAATTTTAATACAATTTTAGAGTAAACGATCTTAACAAAGGATGTTGTCAAAAGCAATTTTTTTTGTAGTGCTTGGATTTACTTTCAAAATTATTCTAAAAAATATTAGTTTTGAGTAGATAAAAACTAATTTAGAAACATTTTAATGTTTAAAAGATATATATTATCTATAGTTGGTTAGAAGTTTTACCTTAGAAAATTTTGATAATAACAAAATTAAAACATATGTAGACAGCTATGAGCTTGCTGTATATCCTT